TTTTTTTTGAAGCCCAAACTGTTATGTCATGTACAAACATACTATCGGACATTCTGAGCCTTTCATGTATAATGGGATGCTGGACCCGGTTTCCAGCAGGTGTTGCTCCCCACCAATAGACTGGAGCCTTTAGGGGGAGGAAAAAAAAAAAAAAAAACAAACAAACATACTAAGCACATGCTGCTCCCCACGAATAGATGGGAGCTAAGCCTTTCCAAATGGTGGGGCATGCAAATGGACATTGGGATGGCATTGTGTTTTTGCGAAAAAAGAAAAGGGTAAAAAAAGGGTTTGCCAGGCGTGGCTCGGAGACTGGTCCCACAGGCACACTGGGCCCGAAGGAGAGGTGAGAGACACTGAGACAGCCCCCAGGATGCAGGCCAATCACAGGCCTTCTTTTTTTCTACTATCAACTGCCGGCAGCCCTAGGGTTACCCTCCAGCTGTACATCTGCTCACACCTGCTGCTTATGCTCTATCTATAGCTGACATCAACCCTACTCAAGGGCAAAACCTCCCACTGGGGCCATTCTACTCAAGGGCAAAACCCCCACTGGGGCCATCCTACTCAAGGGCACAGTCCTCACAGGGAGCCATACCGTGACGGTCCAAATTGCTCTGACAACCCCCGCCATTACGCCCACTATAATCTGAACAGAATCTGATCTGAACCGCCCCAAAATGTTCAGGACTTGTGAACATCCACTGACCCTGGAAGACCGCTCTTAGACTAGCCTTTCATGTATTTTCTGTGGCAGCAGACGGTTACCTTACTGTCCTCATCTGTTGACAATGTACGCAGTCAACAGTAATCACAGACTTCACAGTTCGGGAAATTCAATGCGCTACCGTCTGAAGCCAAATACAAGCTACGGTCATTATTTTGTATCTAGACTCGAAGTTGCACCAAATACGGCTATAATGACGGTACGTTGCATTCGGGTGAAGAGGGTAGGTAGCTCAAAGCAAACTTCGGACACAAGTGGCGAGCATTCGGGTGAAGAGGGTAGGTAGCTCAAAGCAAACTTCGGACACAAGTGGCGAGCGGGGAACCCCACTTTTCAGCTCCGGGGTTAACGGTGGAAAACTGAAATTAGGTTTTGGGGGTCAAATTTTAAATGTCTTTTTTCTTTTCTTTTCTTTTCTGTGCCTGTTTTTGTTCTGAATCAGGGTTGGTGTGTGCCAAATTTGGTGTCTTTTGGACCATTGGAAGTTTAACTCCTCTACTGACATTTCTGAAAATTTCTGGAAATTTCTGAAATTGGAATGTTGGCGAAATTTTCATGAAAGTGTCTGAAAATTTAGGCCTTGGTTAACCATCTCTCGTCTCGGAGTCCACAGTTTACACCAAGGCTCACAAGAAGAGGGTACCTATCTGTATGTGCTGCAAATCCTTGTGCCTAGGGCCCCCTTATAAAATCCACAAGCTTGTGTCCCAATGCAAGGAGTGCCGATGCTTTCTCCTGCCTCCTACCTCCTGCCCCCCATGCATCGCATGTGGAGCATTGTGGACACTTTTTTTTGTTTTGTTTTGTTTTACCCAGGCCGATCAGTTATTGACGGTGATATGAGCATCCCCCAATAACGTCAGCAACATTGTCGGTGTTTTACCCAGGGCGATCAGTTATTGACGGTTGTAAGCCGCTCCTTTCTGTGCACCATTGTAAAATAAAAGGCTGGCATGCTTCGCGGCAGACATTGCCCGGACTTGCTCGCTCCTCATGCCTCCCACACTCTGCATGTGGATTCGGCGCTACACAAGGCTGGCATGCTTGTGATACGCAACCTGACGCCCCCTCGCGGCTTCCCGTACGGGGTCGCTGATCAGAGTTATAGGAGGGGCGTGGCCGAGGATTTTTGGTCGTAAGGGTTGAGTCTCCCGGACGGAACGGGAGGCTGTCGTTTCTTGGCTGAGGTTTTTCTCGGAGTCGAACTGTCGTCGCGAAGTCCCGCGGGGGTCGGACTACTCCGAAATGATAAAATCAGAAGGGTTTCTGTGAGAATGACTTGTCGTCGTGCATCGGGACGGGAATAGGCATCAAGGGGAGGAGGCCATGGCGGCAGGCGGCAAAAACTCCGGCCGTCATGGGTTCCGGGGATGGGTGGTGGGTTTGAAGCCTTCAGGCCTCGTCATCGGCCTCATGAAGTGGCCGAACCCTCGGGTCTTTTGCTGTAGAGGTGGGTGGTTCGAGGCCTTCAAGCCTCGGCGTCGGACTCATAGAGCCCGCGCAAAAGTTTCCGGGAGGGTAAAGCGGCGGGAGGACTCGCCGGCATCTGAATTCAAAATTGCGCGGGCAGCGCCCCCGCACTACGGGAAAGCTCGGGGAAACGTGTCGCTCCCTCGTAACCCAGGACCAGCCGTCGCCACGAACACGAGTCCCCCTGGCGACACCAGCGA